CCTTAGAGTTTCATTACTATTGCATGCACAACAGTGCTTGTAAGCAGCAAGCTTATTTACATGAAACTTTAGAGCTACAGAGTTTTCCATTATATAATGACATAGTTGTCTAAACTTTTCATACCACATGAAGAGTTTTCCATTACAGTTTCTTTCCTTCCATTTTGTAAAGGACACTTCCAGTACAAACTTGGTAGGGTGAATTTTAGTTGTAAATACATACATAGACCCATATTCTAAAAGTGGTATAAGCTTTTTAATAAGGTTTTCTGGAAAATGAATTATTTAAAAAAATCAAATAGAATCACTCTGAGGTTTAAAAGTAGTCTAGAAGAGAATCAAGATGGCTTGAAATACCTTTGACCCAAAGTGTCTTGCAAGGGCAAAGCTTCCCTGCTGCAGTTCATGCTGCTCTAGCATCTCATTAAAGTCAAAGAGCTTTTGACTTTCTGAGAATAGTAGAAACTGAAGTGTGATCTGGGAGCGTTCGTAGTGGCAATTTCAGCATAAGGGGCTGTTTATCTTGCTTTTGGAGCAGTCTTTTTCCTCTGCAGTTGCTGAAATAGTCTTCTAGGTTTGTGATGATCAAGGAAAGCAGTCTTGGAACTGATCTGGATCTGCTAGATGTGACGTATCAAAAGATGACTCCCCTTAACTACATAGTTCACCAGAATAGCCCTGAAGGTGGGGATGAAAAGGAAAGCTGGAACAGCCATATGTAGCTTTTGTTTAGTTTAAGATAGATGAACTAGTGTACACCGAGTAGCAAAGTAACAGTTTGGGATAAGGGTTTTGGAAACATCACTCACCTTGCAAATGGATTGATACTTTCCAGGTCACAAACGAATGCATGTCTGTTCTGTGTTTATGAATTAACTGTGGCTACTTTAAATTATGTAGTTCTCACTTGAGTAACACATCATGCTCATCAAACTGATAGAGCTCTGAAAGCTCCAGATACAAGCACAATCTACAGAATTAATGGCTCTTGTAGCTTATGAACTGCTCCTTCCTGGCACAGTCAAGTCAAGTTAAAGTGGATTTCTTTGTCCCTAGCAAGGATATTTTGTTTTCTACGTTTGTAGTCCAAGTTTAATTTCACACCTCAATTGAGGTGGTAAGGATATTCACAGCTTTGCAGCTATTCAGCTGGAGTGATCACTCTAGATTGATGCACTCATTCCACTTACCTAATTTGTTTTTTCAACTTTGCTACTTGTATGCAGGATAATATGTTAAGCCTTAAGTCTGGTATTACACTTTTTTTTTTTAAAAAGAAGAATCCTGATTTATATTTTTCATTCACTGTTAGTTGATTTCAACAATTCCAACCAGCCGTCTGAAATTCCTTAAAGAAGCGGGTCATGGAACACAAAAGGAAGAGATACCTGAAGAAGAACTCGCGGAAGATGTAGAGGAGATCGATCATGCTGAGAGAGAATTACGTCGTGGTCAGATCTTGTGGTTTAGGGGCCTAAACAGGATACAAACTCAGGTATGGTCTTGAAAAAGGTAGGATGCAGTGGGTGTTATGAGGGCAATCTCTCCTCTCCCTCTCCAGTTCTTTGACTAAGGTGGCAGTTCTAACTGGTGTGACTGAGACTGTCAAAAGGGGGTATGGATGGATGTGTAATCTCTCAGGGTCCTCTGTTTTCTTCAGCTCTAAATTCAACTCTTGCCTGTGTATCTGCTCTATTAAAAAAAAAAAAAGTGCCTTTTTTCTTTACTTTTTGTGTGTTATAGATGGGATGGTCCTTTTTCTTGTTCTTTCTCTCTCTCTCTCTCTCTCTCTTGCTGAGCAAGCTGTCACAATCTCTGATTCCTTGCAGATGGATGTAGTGAATGCTTTCCAGAGTGGAAGTACCATTCAGGGGGCTCTAAGGCGGCAACCCTCCATCGCCAGCCAGCACCATGATGTAACAAATATTTCTACCCCTACACATGTAGTGTTTTCCTCTACTACTGCTTCTACTACTGTGGGGTGTGAGTGTGTGTTCCTAAAGTGCATGAAATTAACATTTCCTAATTCACGTACCTAACGTTTCTCATTTTCTCCTTAGTACTTAAAATCATCGTTCAGGCTTTTATAGAGCTCTTCCACAATTGGAGTCCTCAAGACTTTTTTTTCTTAGAGGGCTGAGAACAGGTGGAACAGTTTCAACAAAAGACTTTAATGTGAAAGCTGTGAGCCTGCACATCCTGTGCCTTCATCCATTCATGTACAGAGGGATGTTTAAGATAAAATGGGACAACTGTTGTAAATTTTCGAGTATATGCCTCTTAGGGTGACTTACATTGAATAAGTGAATTAACCGTATAATCATGGACCCAGGTCAAAAAAAAATAGATGTCTTGCACTGCAGCACAAATGATACTTAAGGTAAACAAGCTGATGGTAAAGCAAATGGTATGTTAAAAATATGAATGTAGTTAGAACACGGAGCACTAAATGCATTTTCTTTATAGCCTATAAGGAACTTCTGAATCTCTGCTTTTGTTGGACCTTTTTTACTGAATAACGCGACTTTCTCAACATCAGGATTCAGGTGGCGACACAAGGCTTCTAAAATGCATACAAGTCAGAAGAAACATTTAATTAGCTAATGTAAAAAGGAAAAAAAGGTTTAAGCATTGAATGGTGAAACTTTCACTCAAATCTGAAGGGTTTTTTTCCTCTCTAGGTTCTTCTGGCAGCAGTTCGTAAGCCATCAGTGAAAGTAAAGTTTGTCTCACCTTTAATTCTGCCCTCTTTATATTGTGCTCTAAGTGGCATTTCAGTTTCAGCCTTCCTCTCTGTAGAGGCTAGAGATTTAATTACTCATGTATGTAGGCTTAAACTCTGGAGCCTGAGGATGCATAACAGTTGTAGTTGAATACTGATAGCTAACATCTATTGTTGAAAGAGTTTTCCATCTTAATTATATATTACATGTTTAACTTCCTTCTCTAACTTCCTAGAGACTGTTTAAGTAATTAGGTTTTGAAATAACTGTGAGAGGGCGTCTTTCCCCCCGGTGCTTTTTAAACTTTCAGATTGCCAGATGGATGAAGACCCTTAATTTCAGGAGCTGTCTTAAATTAAATGTTCTCTTCTGATTTTTTTTTTTTTTTGGCTTGCCCAGAACTCCTGTGTGAGCTTGCACAAGTATTTACCTCTGTACTTGTTCTCCATTGGTGAGACAGGAATTTCCCTACCTTGCAGTAGTATTGAGACGTTCAGCTCACAAATTCGCATGCCTCAAGAACATTAAATGAAAAGTAGATTTAACAGTAAGGATGCACAGGATTGCATCTCCTAGTTAAAATGCTAATTGGTAACCTGTATCCCTAACTACACTCAAGAACATTAATTAGACATTCAGAATTCTCTAGAGAGCAACTTCATGCCATGCTGCCATTTGAGCAGAGTCTAATGGGCACTGCAGCATCTCATTACATCAAATGACCAATGCAGATATGGAGCTACAATAGCAGAGGACTAGTTTTTATCCTCACTAAGTAGTACAGCCCTCTGCTACACCCTTAAGGAGAACAACTTTTGATAACTAATATGTGTTAATGGAAAGTAGATGTGTTGTTTCATTGTGTCTCTCTTTTGGAGCTATTTGGTGGAAAATAGTTCAGCTGTTCCTATGAAGTGAGATTGCAACTTTTAAGCAGCCATCTGGCTAGGAGGATTTGGAGTGCTTACTGCATTTCTTGCTATTCTGGTACTAACATGAGGAAGGCCTGATGACAGTATAAATGATACATAACAAATTGTCTTGTTTGCTCCTCACTTATGCAATTTATTTATAGTTACCTCTCTTGTGTAATTATCTTGAATAGTTGAAAATAAAGCCTTCAAAACACTAGATTTTTCCCTTTTTAAGTATATCTAAAAATGCTGATAGTCTGATTTCTGCCTTCATGGCTGGAATCTTTGAGGGTCCTGGGTTCATAGGATTGTCTAGACCACTTGTTTAGTATGCATTCTGCATGGGAATCAAGCCTCTATGGTATGCATTCTGCATGGGAATCAGGTCTTTATTGTGGGTGTGCTTATATTCCTATGATAATTACAGCTGTCCTGTTAAGCCAAAAATTGTTTTCCATTACTGCTTATGTTCTAAAGTACCATCTGTAAGCAATGAAAAACCAGTCCCACGAGGCAGTCATATTTCATTTTGCCACATAAATCAGTGGCACAGTGGGATGCAACATGCCAAATAAAGGCATTGCAAACTTTCAGTCTGGCACTGTCACTGCTGATTTTCTTGGTAAGTGCCACGACAGTTCATGCAGCTTGCTGGACTTGTTTAATGCTCATGTAACATGCCAACTCCTTAACGGTGTGCTCAATTTTTTCATGTGATGAACAGTGAAGTACTAGCTGCTGTTGTAATCTTTTACTTCTCAAGCACATTCACGCTTTTCCCTGTTCTCGCTTTATAGGTAGTCACGTCCTTCCCCTTGCGTGCGTGCCCCCCTCTTGGTTTCCATGGTTAATGAGGCTCAGCCGTGTACCTGTAGTATAAAAATGGGGACATGATAGCTTTTGAGTAAAACTCTTCATGCAAGTGCTCTGAGGGGATAAGGGTGGGGGAACAACACTATATCTGGAGGTCAAAGAACACAGTCAGGACCTAAGACTTTATCATGTGCAGTGATTTGTGGTAACAAATTTGATAATGCATTGCTTTTGGGGAGCCCTTCTCTGTGTTTACAGTGAGGTTGTTTGGTGTATCTTAGCTGTTTTGAAGTCTGTGCTCTTGATCTGCTTGACCTTCCAGCTTCATTCCTTCACCTGGAAGTCACTTTATTTTTACTATCAAGGAACTCTACGGAAGCACTAGTCATGACGTATTTCTCAGCTTGAGACAAGACGTCTTGGATGTGCTAAAATGCAACAATAAAGTGTTGCAATAAAATTGGACTTAGTGTTTGTAACAGTAAGTTCTTGTTTACTACAGAGTTGCTCTGCTGCTTACTATACAACAGAGGAGCTTTGGGATTGAAACTGTGCTTTGCTGGAGACTTACTCAGAGTAGAGATGTTGAGAATTAAATAGGGAGCTAACGGAAGGGGGAAACTATCTTGACCAAAGTGTTGGACAAAGGGGTCACTGACTTCTGCCTAACCTGATTTGTTTTATCAGTTCAAGAATGAATCCTGAATTCCTGTAATTGGTCAGGGAAAAGTGTGGGGCATGGGAGGAGAAGGGGTGTGCAGGCAGGAGGTTTCATCATTCAAATTACAACTTGGAAAGCTTAAATTCAAGTCAACCTGGACATGCACAATTTGCAAAATGAAGCTGTACTTTATTCTATCTAATTTCACTCTGAAATGTTTGTTTATGAATTCTGTAAACTTAGCTTTCTGATTTGAAAAATGTTAGTTAAACAATGAAAGGACTTGAAATAATACTCAGCCTGGGAATTGTGTCCATGAATTCAATGTAAATTGAAGACTGAAGCAAAGGCTGATCTCCCGCTTTTCTCATACTTTGTGCTACTTGAATAGTCTCTTCAAAGTTACAACCTGTTGTGGCTACTTAATTGTGCAGTACAGTATTCAATTTCCTAGTTCTGGTCTTAAGTTTCCAAAGCACTATTCAGTAAGGAACTTTGTCTAGTGTGGTAAATGGGTATATACTCGAATATTTACAGCTGTTACAGTGGTATCCTTTTTTGCATGACTCTTTGTAAATGTCCAGTCATTGTGACATTGGCTTACACTTGCTTGGCTTTTTCATAGTCAGTTGACAATTCCTAGCATGAGAATTAGTAACCCTTTTATCTTCTAACTTATTTTCAGCCTCTCCCCTCCTTCCCCCCCTTCCCACCTCCTCCAAGTATTCAATAAAACGCTCACTGAGATTTATTTAATTTGTGAATAAGTAAATAAATGTTGGCCTCACTTCTGAAAAATGCTTAGCCCATGTTAAATAATTGAACAATTCTAGTGCCATGTCTGAATTTTTAGGCCCTTCAGCTTTTTGCAGTACTTTTACAATCTTTACTCCTACTGTGTAGACTGGCAGTGCTCTACTGAAATGCTCTTCATTTTTTACAGTTTATTGCAAGTTCCACTGCATCACATACAAATTTGATTCACTCATGTCTAGCTGTTTGTGGATTCAAACTCATAAGAACCATGCCATTACCAGTAAATCTGCAGCATTTTAATAACCTTTTTTTCTTTGTTTACAGATCCGAGTGGTGAATGCATTTCGTAGCTCCTTGTATGAGGGGCTAGAGAAACCTGAGACACGAAGTTCAATTCACAATTTTATGACGCATCCTGAGTTTAGAATAGAAGACTCTGAGCCTCATATTCCTCTTATTGATGATACTGATGCTGAAGATGATGCTCCAACAAAACGCAACTCTACTCCCCCACCCTCTCCCAATAAAAATAACAATGCGGTTGACAGTGGAATTCACCTTACAACAGACATGAACAAGTCTGCTACCTCTTCATCCCCAGGGAGCCCGCTACATAGTTTGGAAACATCACTCTGATTGTAAGCTGAATGTTAACACACTAGCTGCATTGTAAAGAAATTGAAACTGGGTCTCTTCACACATTACGATGGACAAGATGATATTCTTGTCTTGGACTTCAACAGAAGACACACTTGTACGAATGTAGATTTATTTTTTTAAAAAAAAAGCTTTCTGCCAGACTGGAGGGTGCTTTTCTGGGGGTGGGAGTAATAATGAACTCTGACAGATAAACAGTAACTCGGCATAAGTGACCTGTGGATCATCCGTTGTACTTAAGAATGGTCCTGAACAGTGTGTTAGCAGAGCTTTAGTTTATCATGATCCTTTTCTGAGGGGAAGGCTGGGAAGGGCAAGGAGGCCCTGGATCATTGAATTGATACTTTAATTTCTGCTGTTGGCTGTTAATAATTTGGTTTATTTATGTTTATAAATGATACAGATCTGTTTACAAGGTTTGTAGATACTTTTTTTGTTCCTGTTCATAGATGGGAAGCTTCCTTAGAAATGATGCAGAGAAAAAAAAAAAAAACCAACAAAAAAACTAGTCCTTCAAATACTGCTGTATTTTCAGGAAAAGGGTGTTTCTATTGAAACTGTACTAAATTTTGCCTGCAATTTACCTTGTTAAATATTGTAGATAAATTGCTAATACTAATAGCCAAATAGATAACACTAATGCTTTGTAAAAACATGAGCAGTGGTGTTCTAATGAAGTTATGGCCTCTGTCCTAATTAGTTTCTTAAATACATTTACTACTTAATGGTTTTGAAACAACTGTTTAATTTTTAAAAATTTTGAGAAACTTACGGAATAACTTTTGTTCAGAACTTAGTAGGATTGTTTAATGCAGGACATCAATATGTGATGGAACTTGCTTGAAATATTTCTGTTATCTCGGGCAAAATGGATTAAATCAAAATACATCAGAATCTTAGTCCTTTGTTTTTGTCTAAACATGTTAGTTTAGTGCTGTCTTGGTGAACTGTGAGTGGAACTGTGATTTTTTTCTAATCTATAGAATCCTTCATGCAGCATGAGGGCTGTTGGCATTTTGAAAGGTTGTTAGTGGGTAGCATACATGTTCTCCTTTTTGTTTTTGAAACTTGTTTGTAAACATGAATAAATCTGCCCTTTTGTTAAAATAAAATTGCAGCAATGGTTTCTTACAGATTTTTTTTTCTCAGCTCCTTCACTGGAAACACTAAAAAGTACTCTTTTATATTACTGGTTAACTTTAAACTGCAATTTCAAGATGGTAACAGCCCCACTAAAAATAGTACTTTGGGTAAATGGAATCATGGTGGCTGCTTCCAGAATGAATGTAAGCTAAGGTACTCAAAAGTCTTCACCTGAGCCAAAAGGATACTCCTTGGGAATGAATAGGTCTGCCTGAAATTCCGAGAGTTACTGTGAGTACTGTGTAATTAATGTATCCCTGAGCACTAAAGTGAGGGGAAATTGAGAACTGGCATATAGCACAGGTGAAAATACATTTTTCAGCTGATTAATATCTTTTGCACCAAAACTGACCTGCTGGCTGTTGACTGAAGTTGTGGTCTGCCTCAACTGTATTGTTCAAACAGCGAAGGATGATGGAACCATACTTGACCTGGTACTTCCTCATGTTTTCTAGGTCCAATACTGCTTAGAAGACCAGCTGAAGAGATGAGTTGTAAACTCTTTTTTTTTTTTCTCCTTTCTTTTTCCAGCTCTGTGTTCTTTAAAATAGCAAGTGAATTTTTTTGCCAAATAATCCAGAATTTTGGAGATTCTTAAAGGGGTAACTTCAAGGGAGCGCAGGAATTAAGCTGGTAATGAGGGAGGAGATAATACTAGAGCAAACTGCAGAAATGAGCAGGTTAGGAAGCTCAAGCGTATCTTTCCCTTGTGGTGGGATACATGCATGCTTGGGTTCATCTTTTAGTGGCTAATGTTCAACCTGTAGCACTGTATCCCACTGTCAACCACTCCTGAATTCAGTCTTTTCTATTGTACTTAAGTAAATACACTGAATTCTAGGCAAGGGGGCTTGCACTTGACACTTTGTATAAAAATTTCTCCCACATGTTTCTAGCACTTCCCTTACGTCGTAGTTCTTATCTGGAGTGCTTGGTGGGGGGATCAGTTTTTATGTAAGCTGTTTTGTCCCTACTACAAAAGTCAGATAAGCACTGGCTTAAAATGAGGAGAATTTCTTTACCCATGAAATATGCTGCCATGTGAGAAAGTATCTTCATTCGACTTCATCAACGCATCATAGTTTGACTTCATTTGAAAACAGACTTTAATTTTTCCCTCTCTTCTAGCTGTGATCGTGAATGACTGCATTTTATCTTTTTTGGAATAAAGTCTACACTTAAGCCTTTTGAGGGGGGGTGGGTGGGTGAATGTACATCGGTGTTCCCTCTTGATTCTGTTAACATCAGTGTGCTGCTCTTACAGGAAATTTCCTTACAGAAATAAGGAAAAGTTGTTTAAAAGGGGGGTATGCTTTCTTTGTGATCTCAAGAAATCATAACATGTTGCCTACATTATGAAATGGTTATCACTAAGCTCATGAGGCCTTCGTTGCCTTTCTGGTTGTAAGGTTTACTTGTCTTTCTTGTAACTGAAATAAATAAAAGTGCTGTTCATCTCAGTCTGTATGGGGACTGAAATTCTTGAATGTCAGTACAGTACTGATTTAAATCTGAAATGCACGCCAATTCTATAAAATACCTCTTGCTCCAACTTTAAGCTCGCTCCCTTTCAAGAGGTCATGATGTACATGGTATTATAATCAAACAATAGTAGTTTTTAACATAAATGCAGTTGCAGACTACTGTTTGAAGTGGCTTAAATTCAGTATCCTGGTTAGGATGTCTACTATACTTGTGTATAAGACAAATGTTAGGACACCTAATCTTGGTTTTGAGGGAGGAGTGAAAATTGTTACATAAGAGGACTCATTTTTGTCTGTATTGGTCTTAACAGGAAGAGGAAAATGCTGCATCATGGAGTAGTCTGGAGAGAATAATGGAAACAAATGCCTTAATGCCAAACCAATGGGTAAATGCAGGGGTCTGTAGCAAGTGTAAGCAGTCAAAAAATATGAGCTAACACTCAAGAGACTTTCTTGGAATAACAGGAAGTTTTCCAATGTGTTTCAAAGTAAGCAAATGTGATATTCATGGAAATATAATTCTTGTATGGCTGACTGTATTGGGAAGTTATCCCAAAGGCCTGATAAGTTCAGTTACTACTGCCAGTAGTGTCAGCCTCTGCAGAGCCCTAGAAGAATCCAGATCATACTAAGCCTTGCATAAATTAAAGTAGAATGTCTTAATGTTCGTACTGCTTTTCTGATGCAAATACTTGGTTCTAAAGAGCTCCTGCTTTTTTCCACCTCCACCCTCTCCCCAAGCAGTGCATATCTTCTGATCTTACAGATTTCAAGCCCTCACTGAAATACCTTAACTTTGTTGGATGAGTCTGGCCAGCATTGGAGGGTCCAGCATCTCCAGACTGAACTGGCCTGCTTATTCAGGGCCGTGTCATGAGAAATTCTGGGCCACAATCAAGAGCCTTAGAGCTGTTCCTGCTTATCTTCTCCCCTGGGCTGTATACAGAACTACCTAACCACCTTCTTCAAGAGACTGCAGCATCCATCAAGGAGATATGACTTACATGGTGCCTAAGCCAAAAGCCTCCTACAGGTACTACTTGTCCTTTTTGTTCAAAGTGAGGTCTAGGATGAGGATTTGCTTAGAAAACTATGGGATGGGCTTAAACAGGTGAAAGAAGACAGCATGAAAAAGGTAGCTCACTAGACAGTGGCAGCACTGTTCTAGTTACAAAGCATAAAGCTAGAGTTGGTGCTTACACTGCAAATCTGACAAAGCAGGGAGTGTTCCTCAGTAGGGGAAAGAAATTGGTTGTGGCTCTTATGCTTTCATAGTAACTCAGCAGCATTAATAGGAGATTATATTTAAAAGGAGAAGATTGACACAGTTTAAGTCCAAAACATGAACAGCTGCAAAGAAGCAAACAGGTTTCTCCTGCCCTGTATGGAGCAGGCAGAGGACTTTGTTCTGTGTCCACATACGACTTCACTACCGCTTCAGATCTTGTTAATGTTCTGGGTGTATTCCTTTAAAAGATAGATAAGGATGCCTAGCATTGCAGAAGATGGGCAGTAGCTTGCTTCAGCCATATCTGATCCTCAGGATTTAGTGAATTCCTCTGTAACTCTTTACTACTGTTACGTACACCTGACATATTCTAGTTTTCTAAAAATCTATAAAATTGTTAGGCTGAAAAGGGTTCCTTGGCTTGCCCCTGCTGGAAGACGGTGGGAATTCAAGTTTGGAAAAATGACTATCAAGGGAATTTTTGGGAATTAATAGCTTTTGGTTGATGGAAGTGTACCTTCTGGAATACTGGAACATCACCTGGCATTTCAAATTCTGGTGTAGTGACAAGTGTCAATCCAACTATGAAGCAGCAGTTGCTCACTGAAATGCAAGTATGCGTTCTGTATCCCTTTGATTCATTGCAAAACTAGTAGTATCTAACAGTATTCTGAACATCTTCATCTGCTTTCCTAGGCTGCCTCTCTTACAGGGCATGAAGCTGAAGTATGCTGGAAGACCGTAAGTACAATCATACAGAAAACTTTTTATGGTTTCCTCCTTAGCAAAGGCACAATCATGGCGTTGCTCTATGACAATTGCCAAGGCACAAAGTGAACAGCTTTTCCTGCTTAAAAGCTTTCAGAGGCTCCTGTAGAGAATTGGAGCGTACAGTTCAAATGCTTCTAAACTTTGTGTGAATAGCCTCCCAAAACTTCTGATTTAAGGTACTACAATGAAAAAACAAAAACACCTCTACAAATAAACCTTAGAAGATACATCTGTTATCTTTGACAATTTCATTTTTACAAATACAGGATTTAACTTGACATCTTCCCTCTTCCACAAGTTGGTTGCTCTGAAGCATTTTCAGTTATGACCTAAGCTAGGTCTCCTGAAGGTAAGATCTCCTGAAGGTAAGCCACTACTTGGCTGATGTTTGTGGGGAAATACAGAGCTTAATTTGAATACTCTGCTGGCAGCTACTGCATAGTGTTTTGTGCTATATATTTTAGGAGAGAACCTGCAAAACTCCTGACACAGGACCTGTCAAAGAATACATGGGTCAGGCATAGACTACATGAAATAGGGAGCTCTTGGAATTGATCTTTTGGTAGGAAGCAATAGGATTTGCTTTCTGAGAACACTGCCTTTAAAGATGGGAAGGTATGTCTTTACTCGCTTGCCAGGTATTTGTCATTAATTTTCTGATCAGTGTAACAGTCTAATTCATTGAGGACCATCATCCAAAAAGCACTCCATTAAACTAGTGTTTTTAAATAAAAAAATACCCTGCAAAAGGTACTTCCTATCGTATTTTAATTTGCAAAAAGATGAGTCATTCCTAGCTTTTTCTCCTTTTAACAAATCCACTAGTCTCTGTTCTAATAAATCTAGCAGTAGTATGGACATGACCTAAAACTTGGTGTCTTCTCCCTTTCTCCTCTTCCCCCTTCCAGTCTGCCAAGGACTATCATAGGGAATCAGTGAAGGACAGATGGAGTAAGAGGTGCAATTGTGGATTTGTATCCTTCATCATCCATCTACCCTGCCTTATGATCTTCTATTCTGCCTTCTACTTCAAGATCTCACTGACAATCAGTAAACAGACTGGAAAACTGCTGTGCAATGTGGCTGTTGGTGTTTCCAGTGAAGGGTCCTTCATGTGCTCCTTCCACTTTTTAATTGGTGTGAAGGCTTGAAGAATTAGGGTTTGAACTAACCATGAACAGTGAATGAACATAAGAATGAGCAGTAGAGAATGAATATTCAAGACCAAATGTTTCTCCCAGGTAGTTCATAAAAGCCCCTTACCTCGCTGAGCCCTTGATGTTTGTTCATACCTCTGTGCCTGCTTGTATGAAAGCACCTTGGTATACAGACAAGGATTCAGCTCTACACATAGCGGGACTTTGGTCATGTGTGCAGATGTACAGGTGCTGAGAATTAGGAGAACACTTTTAAATTTAAGCCTTGGGCAGGGAACTTCAAAAGTGTTATGCCTTACAGTAGACTTCTGTCAGGTATATCTTGAAGATCCAC